GCTTTCCCCTGTCTTCTAAACTAAGACAACACGTATATCAGTTCCTGTGGCAAAGAGAGATAGTATAAAACAATGAAGATCGCTAAAGCATTCATTACATGTTAGCTCTGTGATCAGCAAGTAAGCACTAACTATTTAATTAGTCAACTAATTAGTGACAGGCAACATGGAAGGCTTCAGATTTTCTCAGACAAATGCAAAGATAAAAAGCCTAATTAAACAGCAAGCATTATGCTAACTATTGCCAAGCAGGACAGATGTGCAGGATATCGCATAATGCGGTGCCGCCAGATAACGGCGCTCAGAGCCGCGCTGTCAGAAATTGAGCTTTAAAAATCCCCACCGCTGCTAAGCTGATCTCAGATACTTCCAACTCACAGAAGGAGAAACTGTCCTGCAGATAAAACCTCACAGATTTACTGAGCCAGATCCTAATTCTACTTGAAGGAAAAAGTTCAGGGCTTTGACAGAAACACACTTTAATACATTTCCTTTTTAAATGCAATAATTATTTTGACACACCCATGTAGAAAGGGAAATATATTTCACGGCGTTTTCGTACAGAATGCTGTGAATTTAGCCACCGCTCATTTATTGCTATTTTGTGTAGCACATTATGTATATTTCCAACGTCCTCGGAGAATAAGTCATTGTTTACACCAGAGGTTGGATTAAGGATGTTTTTGAAATCATGGATTAAAAAGGGTTTTCCCTATAATCAGAAGACAATAATGCTTCTCACAGCTATATGCAAAGAGGTGGATGAAAAGCTAATTGGTTCACTACACTGGAACCAACGACAAGATACTGCTGTGAGCAAGCTTCTTGCGTTCTTGCAGTGAAACTTCCATCACCTGCTGCCAGGGCACAATAGTTCGCACACTGTTCCATCAATCCTCCACCAGAATAAACCAAAAATGCCATTTCTTTTAACTGCATGCTCTTCTGGCCTAATGCTGCTGCCATAACCCTCATTCTTCAAGTCTCACATGAAAAAAAAGAAGAAACAAACAAACAAGCAAAACCAATCCTGCGCTTCTAGTAAATGTGTATTTAGCAATGAAGTAATTTTTTAAAGCATTCCCATTCTTGGGAATAAGAAGAGATTAAAATGCTGGGCTATAGCTTACATTCATTAGGATATACATTTAGGAGAAACACCGGTTTAACTGAGGGCTGTGCAAACTCGGTGTCCCCAATTCCAGCCATTCACAGGTTTTTAACTGCAGTTGGATTTCGCCTGCTGAAGCTCTCCTCCAAGAACTGGCATTTGTGGAACTCTGCACTGAACTCATTCCTCCTTTTCTCATACTCATGAAAACAGATTGTACACTTGCAAACCATTCTCAGGTACAATTTTCACTGAATACATAGAACAACTTTCTCATTTATGAATTTAGCATAGCCCTACTTGATCTGGAGATGACAAAAAAAGGGGTAGCTTTTAAAAACTTTCTTAGCAAGTCTTTTAAACTCCTTTTTAGGTTCCTTGTTCACGGCATTTTGTCAGTTAGTGGCTCATAGTACTGCAGGTGTTAAGTGGCAGCATGCATGTATTTACTAAAATGTCTAAACAAACTTATTCTTGTAATTTTTTATAAAGCCAAGTCCCTCAAGGGAAACTAAAAATAGATACAGCTTGCATTTTAGCTTAACCTGTCTCCATAGTTTGCCTTGCTGAAGGCTTTTCTCGCCACAACAAAGGACGCCGGAGCCCAGCCAGGCTCCCACTTTGGACGGCAGAGAACAATAGAGGCTGGGACTCTGCACTGCTGAGCTGCTTTTTCACAGGGGGGGCATTTGTTTGGCCACCACTTCTCCATCAGGGCTGCACATCAGTCAGAGCTTACGCCGCAACTGATCACAGCCTTGCCTCGGTGCTCCAGAGTGCCTCGAGCCCCGGCTCTGGGCAAGGGCAAGCAGGTAATTGTGCTGCCCAGGAGGAGCCTCGTGCGGTAGGAATTGCGATTCCTTCCCCGCGTGCCGCGCACCATCAGGGAAGTTAATTACTGCAGCACCTTACGGTGCAGCTCACTCCCCCCAGCAGCCCTTCCGCAGCACATCAGCTCAGCCCCAGACCCAAAAACTCATGTCTGCATGGGATTATGCTCTGAGAAAAAACACACGAGTGGGAGAGAACTTATCTGAGCGGTAAGCTTGAGTGAGGACGTCACCTTTGCTGACCTAGAGTCAGGTGAAGCACGATGAGGGGCTCTTCAAAACAACGGGCACCAATTTGGGGCCCTCTCCGCTCGGTGAGAAACTTATTCCTTCAGTCTCAAAGAAGTCGAAAACACTTGTAAAATCTAGTTCTAGCAATTGTCCTGTAGGTAAGTGACTTACATCTGTGTGTTTCCACGGCAACCGATAATGTAAAATAATTAAGTATGAAGGATAATGAGGAGAAAAGTGCTTCCTCTTTCTAAGGATTGGGGGCTTACAAATTGATTCAATCCAGCTATTTTTAGTGCATGCAACCTTCGCAAAGAATATTCGAAAATTATGAGTAAATTAAACTAAATTATATTAAAAGGCCTTCACATTGATCAGATTTTATTGGCTGCTGATGTGAAAATTAAAAAAAGAATCCTTCTTATATTTATACATATATTAATATAAGTTCTGCGGTGTTTGGCCCTAAGTGCTGACTGCTTCCTTTTTGCATTCTCAGAGCGACGCTCAGTTTCTCTTAAGCAGGAGTGCTCCGTTTGTGCTGGGCTGAAGACAAGCACCCTCTCCTCTGTAGCAGAAGAACACGTTCTGCACTAACTCGTTGCTAGAACGTGGTTCAAATGAAACCTCTGGCTGAAAAGCCTTGGCTGAGCTATCTCTGAGGAGGATACTTGTGTAAAGGATTGCCCCGCAGACACAATATTGGCTCATTTCCTGATTGCTACAGAAAGATTTTGCTTCTGGCTGACAGACTTGGAGCACAAATACACTTTGCTCTTCCTCTCACGGCATTTTAATACCAAAGGTGTAGTAGTAAACAGCACATGAAGAATAACAAGAAAGTAGCTAATAGCTCTAAACCTCATTTTAAACTGAATTTGGAGAGGAACTGAAAGCCTAAAAAGGTGTTGAGAGTAGGAGGATGAGAAGATTATTTTACCCCAAGAGAAGATGCTCTACAGGAAGCCAGAAACTAAAAAAAAAGAGCAAGCAGCAGGTATTTTTAATTCACTGCTCCAGGAACATAGCAACGCCCATAAAGCACTTCAACATTTTCTTCCCTTGCCACATTGATATTTAATCTGTGAGGTTATGAATAAAAAAAACTTACCAAAAGATAAGTGTTTCCAGAAAAGCGATCCCAACGTCAGATGCCCCAACCACCACAATTCTAATATTAATAGACACTCGAGACTCCAGCAGCAGCTTTCGATTTATGTGGTTCAACGAATAACTCAACTGTAAACAAAAATATGTAAAATGACATAGAAATGCATTAAAAAAACCCCCATCAAGTCTGCTAAGAATGATTAAACCATCAGTTTAATGCCTTGCATTCATACACAACTTCTTATGACTTACTGACATGACTAATACTATGATTTTTCCATGCACAGCACAAGATAAAGGGTACTTAAATGTTGAAATATATGCATGTGTAATAGGTCACAGAAAATTAGTAGAGCTTAACAGGCTGGCTTCTCCTGGAGAAGATGCTTTGGAGTCCTTGTAAGAGAGGGGAAATTACCACCTCTTCTATGATTTACTTCTGTTTAGCTAACATCTGGGGAACATGTATTTACATAACATTAAGGGCATTTTTATACTTTCTAGAGCAGCTTTTACTCTTGCCGTTTTATTTATGGAAGTAGTTTTACTTGCAAATTAATTAGGAACTTATATCCTCAGAGCCTTTGTGTGTTTAATTGAAAACTCTCTTCCAAAATGATAAATTTAATCTTATTTTTCCTTAAATATAGAGCAGCTACACCCTGAAAGGCAGGCTGTCAAACAAGAAAACTAGTACCTCAATGCCACTGAGATGAATACTCTTGCTAAAAATCTTACTGTAAAATTTTTAATTGCTAGCTTCTCAGTTTTCATTCTTCTTAATGCATACACTGGTTAAAATGATAAAGTCTATGTTTGTTTGTTTGTGTTTTTAATTTGTGTCTCTAGGTCTCAGTAGCAGACAGAGATTCTCAAAACAAATTCGCAAGAAAGGGCCAAGAGACAATATCGCATTTGAAATTTTTTTTATGCCCTGAACTGTATTTGGTTTTCAAATTTCTGCTTAAAGATAGGGAAATACTTTCCATCTTGCTGTATCCCATGCTTTGCATTTATCTTATTGCTTTGGGTTCTATGCACTCATATTTCACAGAATACATAATTGTAGATTCATAAATACACTGAAGAGAAATAGAAAATGGAGCTACATTTCTTATTTGTTGGGCACTTCTATATATTTCTGCCAGTGTCACTTAGGCAGGAAGCAGTCTAAGACTTCTAACGGGTTTTTCTCTATTACGATTAGGAGACAGAGGGTTAATAAAATTAAGTCCTCTAAATTCCTCCTGGGAAATTGCAGTAGAAATATATTGTCTATACATTAATTGACAGAGTAACTCAATATGTGAAGCACAAGTATTTTATTTTAAAGCTATGGTGATGACACTGGCCTTCAAGAAGTACATGGTATATCAAGATGCCCACGTCTTCACAGTGGTGGAGACCCACAGCTGCAAGTTGAGCCCAGCCCCACTGCAGGCGGTGCAGAACTGGCTGCATAACACGCCAAGTGCCTCTTCTGCCTTAAGGAAGGTTGACGGACCAGCCGCTTGCCAACTGTCATAGCTGTGGAGTGAGTCATTTAAAACATGGGAAGACAAAACATCTTTGGCCAGGCAACTTTACTTTTCATCACCAGATAAATATTCTTCGAGCTGCAGCTCATCACAGTGCAATGATGACATCCAGTGGTGAGCCACATCCATCCCAGGGACCCCGCTTCACCAAGAAAATTCTAGAAGATACCTTGAAAGGTACACAAGAGCCCGCAGTGGCTGCTTAACAAAGCAGGCAAACGTGTGAGAGCTGGCACGTGCCCACAGCCCTGCCAGCAGCCCCGCACTGAGGAACAACTTGAGGAGCCAGGTCTAAGCAGCAGAAGGGCTGTAACGCTGCCTAAACCCTTATGATATAAGACACTTGCAAGCCTTGGCCAACAAGCCTAATGATGTACTGCAAAGCCAGTGCTTTTTAACGTGGTTAAGCACTTCTTCCAGCAGGATTTGCCAGCATGAAGGGTTTTGGTCATAAATGAAAGTATATCTGTAATAATTCCATGCTTCAGAAACTGAAAAAACAGCAGTTATATTTCACTGGAAACATACATCACTGGAAGAGATGTTACAAACAAGAAGGTCCAATGCCAATTATTAAAGGCATCCCTCAATGCTTAAAATAAAATATGGGCTGTATTTTCCATCAGGTGCTAAATGGACATGTCCCAAACGCAACAGCTGACACTGTCCTGCAAGCACTGATGCTTGGGGAAGTCTCGCAGTACCAAACAGGCCTTGAGGATACGAAGCTTAAGGCCCCAGTCTTGGCATTCCCTCTCCTTGGGTTTGTGAACTCCACAGCCAAGAACTCCGACAGGTTTTTCTCTTTTTTTTTTCTGCACATGGAAAACTGCAACTTTCCAGAAGTAGCGACGCCTTCTGGAGGAGCAATTATTAGTGATGTTTTTGCTGAAATGTGGCTTTTGACGAGATTAATAAAATAGTAAACAGAACACAGAGAGAAATCACTTATAGTGTACCTAATTGACTAAAATAACTGGACAGGAATGTTAGCAGCTAATGGGATACACCCGACAGACCTTACAGCAACACCAAGTTCAAACATCTGCTAGTGCTGCCTTGGTTTTTTTGATGTTGGTTTTTTTTTTAAAAAAAAAATGTACTCCAACAATGAAATATAAAGCAGTAACACAATTTCCTAGGGAAGAGTTGTATCTAATTTATGAAATGGCTTCTGTATCAGTGATACAAAGGTGGTACATGAGTAGAACATAACTGGTTTTGTTCACCACACAATGGCCCCAACACCAACAGCTGTCATGCTTCAGAAATCACCTTTCTAACAGCTAAGTACACTAAACGTCCCCAGGGAGTAAGAAATTAGGTGGATTGGTCCCATAATACCACCTTATTTTAATCAAACGTCAGGACAAATGACTACATATGTCCCCCAGAGGAGTAATCGAACATCATAATTGATAGGTCAATAGCAAACTAACTTGTTTATTTTGTATCCTATTTATTAAGTAAACCAGCAATCATTAACTAACGTGGGGAAAAAAGCAGTAAATGCTGAACACAGTTGTTTGCTAAATTTTAAGGATGTTAAAGTGCCCCTGAGTTCAGAAGGACTGCAAGAGAAACATGAGGCTGACTCGTCTTTAGGTACTCGGCACCTTCCCACATCCCTCCTTACACAGGGAGGAACAGGGAACCAGTCGGAGGGACCCTCCCGGCCCAGTATGGAGAGATTCCACATCTGCCTGCAATGCTTTGGGTTTAATTTAGCATTTGTTAACAAGAAACCCGAGTGACAGCTACCTCTGTACAGGATCTACATCATTTGAACTCTGTTACAGTAAAAATCACCAGGAGTAAAAACAATTAACAGCCCTCCTCCTAGAGTAGAGGTCAGCAATAGTGGCAGGCAAACAAGAGGGTGAACAAACAGAGCTATTTTAATTTCAAGCTCCATTTAAATCACAAGGGGAAAAAAAAAAGAGAGATAAAATAAGTCAGTATTATACCAGCAATGATCTGATCTTCAGATTCTGGAAAAACAGCCTATCTGTTCAGGGCCAAGCCTATGCCAATCCTTCCGGCTCCCTGTGACATCAGGGATTTCTCGTGAAATTCCCAAAAGCAGCGAAGGAGAGCAGAGCAGGGAGACATATATTTAATTTCCCTGCAGAACCCCTGTTACTGTGGGAAGAAACTGCTCTTTCTTCCTTTTAGCAGTAACGTTTGGATTCTCAGTCCAAAAGAGGGCCGAACAGTTCACACATACACAAAGATCTCGACTGTTTGCTGCTCAGACAAGTAGCTAAACTCCAAATTATGCAATTTTCAAAGAGTTCAGTTCTCCCCCATCTTTCAGGGGAGGAAAGCAATGTATGGGAATGCACAGGAACACGTCTTCATCTCTGGAAGAGGCGAAGACAGAATCATCTCTGTCCACTGCACCTCAAGGCAACTGAGGCGGTGATTTTTAAATGTATGAACTAACTGAAAAATATCATAGGTAGCTCACTCTAGAACCATATTTTAGTGAATGCAGCTGCAGTTCTCCATTGTGCAACAGTGTGAAAACACACCTACATCCTTCTTCACAACCTGGAATCATGCTGCTTCCCAAGTCAATCAACAAAACACCTCAAAAAAGCTTTAACGCATGTCTGACCTGTTTTTAGGAAGCAACTCTTTTAGTTTCCTGCTAGCGTCACTAACACCTGTACAGGAGTGACACTGTGCTTTCAAAATAAAGACAGGTCATCTTACTTTTCATTTCACACATGCACATAAGCGGTAAACATTGGGAGCATTCCTGTTAACAATGCCATCTGGTGCCTCCCCTAATTGTGTAACATTCAGCCTTCCAAACAAGATGTAATGGCAGCAACACACAAAACCCACTGACATTTACAGTACGGAAATTTATTACCAGCCGTCAGCTCCGGGTGACTGTGTTTGCACGACTACTCCTGCTATAAAATCATCACCTCCACCAACCAAGTGGAGGTCCAATAAATAATGGATTTTAATCCATGCACATACTACAAAAGCATTAAAAATTCATTACTTGAGCACAATAGCATCTTAAGCAACAGTTCCTTCTTTAAAAATTAATACTACTTCCCTGGTTAAGTGAAAACTCTGCACGCTAAGCCTCTGTCATACCAATGTGTTCCTCTACAAGCTGCAACACGGAGGAATGCTTCTGCTTGCACCTCGATGCATGAATCTTCATATTTAAAAAAGCAGCTGTCAGGACATCAACTCCGAGCCCAGATCAGGGATGTGGATTATGCTCAGGCTGGGCTGCTAATCCAAAACATTAAAAACCTTGTTCATTTTTTCCCAGTAAGAAGTACCGAGGAACACTGAATCAGATGACCCACAACTACACAGAGACACCAACATACAAGTGAAGGGTTTGGGCAACTCCCCATCGGGTGGCCTCAGTGTAAGGAAGCAGAAGCTACAGAGAGTGAAAATGCCTCGAGTTTGCTGGGGGAGACACTGGCATCTATGGAGGAGTTCCTTATACAAGCACTCATAGATATCCAGTTTAGTTTCCTTCTTAAACAAGCTGCCCCCAAAGTGAAAAATTTCTGTCAAACTTGAAAATGTCTTCAATTTTTTTCAGTTTTACTTGATAACTAGTTTTTCTATTTTTTTTTCAGAAACCATTTCAAACAAATTGGACATACTTTATTCTGTTTTAAAGTCCTGCAACTTTACAATGGACATAAAAAAGTAAAAAAACAGTCCAGGACAGTACTTAAGACTTGCAGCTCATTTGAGTATCTTCTACAACACAAAGAATATGTGTGAACATACACTGTGATGGAACAAGTAAGATTAATTAGGCTTTGCTCAAAACGGTAAAGGAAAAATCCTCTTTTGTTTGGAGGTTGTTGTGTTGTGGTTTTTTTTAAAATAAGGACTGCTGAGGAAGCACACTGTTAAACCCCAGAGAAATGAAGTGCCAGCACTGAAGGGGTCCAGCCCTCTCCCCAGACACCAATGGGCCATCCTGGCACCACTCAAATCTTCAGCAAGGGCAAAGTCAACTAGAGAAC